GAGGATTAAGCGTTTTGTTTTAAAAAAAACTTAAAGTCCGTGTTCTTTCCATTTAGTAATCGATGATATATTTGTCAAAAATAGAATGTGAGTGAAACTTAAAAGCTTAACGTGATTATACAGATGGTTTAATTATTTTTCAACTGATTTCATCATCCACCATTTCATATTTGGAAAAATTGCGAGGTAAACTCCCGTCATATGCTTAAATTTATGGAAAAGAACTGCAATCCTTCCTAAACGATTTATGAAGACCACTCTGTTTATATCATCTAGATTCATATAAAGGCAACTTGTTAGAGCAGAAAATTTGAAATTGCAATTTATTCAGTTACTTCGCTTGAACATCAAAGCACTTGGTAGCACAAGGGTAATACTGTATATCTACAAAATGCAGCAAACTGTTTACTTTGAACATTTTCTGCGTGCTTAAATACAGGGTGGTGTATAGGCCCGGATTTAATGGTTATTAGATGGATTATAAAAAAATCAGCAGTATAAACACATTGGTAGTTCGCTGTTAAAAAAATCGAGCAGAAAAATTTACTTAACGAGAGATTACATTTTACGCAATAAATTGTTCAAAGGTATTTAAATAAAATTGATATACGGTATCATAGCGTAGACTGTACTATTTAGATATACAAATAGGATATTGTATTTCCTAACAATTAAAGTTCAGACTAGTGCACTGACTAGAAAATAACAGATACTTCTTTATAAAAATAATTACATTCTCTCTAAAATCAGGAAGATTCATTTCTGTAAGACAATTAGTAACGGTCGATCATCCACTTTATTTAGATAAGCCAACTAGTTTTCATCAAACTTTAATCCCTAGTTTTGAAAGGGTTATAAAACAACAACTTAATATGGAGAACCACAGTAAATAACGAATCTGACTAAAACGAGTATAAGGTCTGAAATTACTGATATTATATTAATGCTTAAAGTTTTGAAAGTTGATCGAAATCAAAACTGAAAATATGATTTACCAGGTTTGTTTTTGGCTCTTCAAATACTAAAACTACCAGGCCAAAATTCGTTTAACACTCAACGAAATTCGCCTCATATCGATCACTTCGACTTAGACCTATCAGCAGCATCCGTACAATTACGAAAACCAATTTCCCCGTTTTAATCAAGTTTTCATTCTTTATGGAGCCCATTAATATTTAATAACTAGTCTACGAATATCATCGATTGAAAGTAAGGAAAAGGGTGAAAGCAAATGTATTCAATAGCCGCGTCAAGTTGGAATTTTATGCGATTTAGAAGCAGCAGAATGCTTTCAAAATCCGTTATCTGACTGCTAACATGTATGGAAACGCGTTTTAGTGTCCATTATTGGATTTTATCGGTCTCGCTCGTTCTACGAATTATATTCAGTTTTTATGGGTTGTGGCTTTGCTGTTTTAGAAATTGCAACACCGAGTAAACGTATTGATTTTGCACCGTTTGCAACGAGATCTAATGGAGCGTGATAGGGCAATTATACACCTTTTCACATAATTGCAGACGCATTAGCTATTTGATATTTGGCAGGTTTAACACTTTGGCGAAACATTCAATTATGAAGTGTTAGAACTGTAGTATTTTTGTTTAAATCGACAGAGGTGGACTAAATATTCTGAAAAGCCTTCCAGGTACAAAAGTGCAAAATGGGTTGTTTCTGCTACAACTAGAGTTACTGTTTATTCAGTAATATCTAGTTTTCCACGTGAAATTGCAGAAGAATCGGATACATAGTTAAAATAGTATTTTGCATCATTTGTGGATAAAAATAAATTACTATTTTTTTTACTAAATTGTTTCATTTTGTATTTTGATATGATGCTCCGGTGTATGGATTCATCATTCTCATAATTTGTTCTTTATTTGCAACTGCCATTTGAAATCGCATGTGAAACAGACAGTTTAATTCACATGCAACATTCACAAGCAACAATCGTCTAGCTAAAGTTAAACTACATTTGAGCAATATTGGCCTTACTTTTAATATGATGCTGCTTGATAAAGTGAAAAGAACAACAGAAGATAATGTTGGAGCAAACACATTGAGAAAATGCCAAATGACTGATATGATTAAAATATTAAATGAAAAGAAAAGTAAACCTGTTCGAAAAAAGAACACAATGGAGGCAAACAAAACGATTAAAATAATTCTGGACTTACTTACTTTCTACTGTCTAAACAACGCAGAAAAGACCCTACCTATTTAATCTTAGTCATCTAATAAGAATCAAAACCCTTTTTTACGTGCCGTACTAATTTGAAGCCGCATTGGCAAATGCTGTTTCTGGTATGACTTTTTCAATCGCCAATTGTTCAGCTCGGTATAACAAAAAATGTGTAGTAGTTTCTTTAACTACAGTAGGAATTTGAAAATTTGTATTTTCGATTCTCACTTTTATTCGAAAACCGAGCAACACGTTTTAGAAATCTTAGATGTTTGCATTTTTTATGAAACACGGAAAAAGGAAAAAAGTCGAACTAGTCACATTGTACTCCCACTAATGTCTGATACTGTTGTATTGCCAAAATCTGATACACAAATATGTTTTATGAGAATGTTAAATCAAAATCACAATTTAATTTTTGCATTGAATTGATGTGAAGTTGAACTTCAAGTGAAAATGTACCCAAGAAAAAACCATCCCCACTTGTATGTTTCGCAAATTCGCCAGTACGACGGTTAAATCACCAAAGCGGCAAGTGAAAAGTTGCAAACAGTTTAGAGCCTTAATAACGTATTTTTTTGAACAACGTTTCCGTTTTATAATATTCCCATTCTAAAGATATACTGCGTAAAAATTAAGGTGGGAAGACATGTCCTTCCCTTATTAAATTCTGAATACCGTATGGAATTAAAATTTCTTGTCGTAAAATGCTAAAATAAAATTACGTGCCGTCTGGATACCAAACGATTAAAAAAGCACGTTTGTATGAGCAGATAATTGTTTTTTTGGCAAAGTATGATTATCAATAATTGTTTGCGTCTATCAGAAAACACCCTGTAATTTATTTACTACTTCACTACTCTTTAGCCTATTCTCAAAAAGAAATTAGTTTATGTTCTTTCCACTCTCTCTCCCTCTATCTTCTAATTCTCGTTAAATCTAACCAATAAGGCTAAGTAAAAAACGACACTTTTTCTCCACACTTCATAGATAGCTGCCAATTTAATTTGGTAAAACTGAAGCACGCTTACTCAAGCCCTTCAGTTACCTTTGCGGGCATAAATAATTCATCCTGTGTCTTCCAGGCGGCATATTAATTGCTCCCCAGGGATGGAAAAGCGGTTTATGTGAGTTGGCGATTGCCGAAAATATTCAGGACACAAAAGGAAATCGCAAAGTGGCTTAAAAGTAGAATGGAGACTTAATATTTAATATTGAGTGATTTTCTTATATTACTGGCAGGAAAAAAGCAGGAGAAAAAATCGCTAACGGGCCTCAAAATTGATTTAATATGCTGGGTCTATTCCAGCCATTAGACATCAGAGGTAATGCTTTCCAATGCAATTATATCAGTGTATCCATCTGGCTTTTAATGTGTTGGTTATTTAATTAATTTGTATTTAAATTCAATCAAACAAGTTTTTTTGTAATTAAGTATGATAGTATATACTTTCCTGGCTGTGTTTCAATTCCAAAGCAAAATTAACTCGTGGGTTTCAGTCATTTATTGTCTTTATTTATCAATTAAAATACGTTTCGGTGTATTTTTCCACCATCATCAGTTTTTCTAAAATAACATAGTTA